TCACCCAAATGAAAACTACAGGGTGCACTATAGCTGCACCTGACAGCTGTGTAGGCTGCCAAATGTAATAACCTATTTGATGTCTGAGCATATTACACTGTTGTCTCAACACTGCCTTTCATAATATTCTGTTTGCGTGTAAAGTGATACTGCTAAAGCTCACACAGCATTAATCTGAATGGGACCGTTAGCGCTTTCATCATCAAAGGGGAAACATTTATCCCAGATGAATAGCCTTTAGTGCAGAAAACGCAAATCCTCAATGGCAAGACTGAATCTGTTATGATTCCCCACTGCGCACTGTTCTGTTAATTCCTGTCAGCGCAGTTACTTGTTCTAACTGAACCCAGATCAGCTCAGTCTTCCTGATTGAGATGTTATGGTTGTCATGTTACGAGAGTGAAGTAGAAGAGGTTAATGACCTGCTTGTCATGAGATCATTTGCTGCTCTCAAAAAAATCTCAGAGTTCCCCAGGCACCTCTGCAGGAGAATAATCCACCTTGATTTTCTTACAACACCCACTCATTCCGCTCACTGACAATCTGTCAGAGAGGCACAAACTGACTTTTTCTGTGGCATCCTTCAGAAAGGCCTACCCTGCCGATAAATTTGTGAGAGGATTCTAGTGGAAATTCCTACAGGTGTTTTTGGTGATGTGGCACTGTGGAGTGGGAAGGTAGACCCGGCCCCTCCCTGCCTGTGCCAGGCCTCGCTCGGAGGGGTGAGGGACGAGGCGAGGGGGTGCAGCGGCTCCCACCCGTGCCTGACGTGTCTTGCAGCACCTGTTCATCAGCCCTGAGCGAGCGCTCAGATGGCTGCGGCGATTGCCTCCAGAGCGCCGCTTGCTCTCCCCCTCCCTCTCTTCCTCTCTCCCAGCGTGCCCGGCTCCTCCGCCCCGAAACGGGCGGCCCTACCTGCGTGCACCAGACAGGTGTCAAATTGCTCAAATTACTCACATATTTACTCAGATAAAGCCCCTTTGATTAGCCCTGGCTTTTGGGGGGACAGCGGGACGGGCACTTTTCGGGGGCCCCTCCGCGGCCTGCCCCTGGGTGCGGCGCTGACAGGCGGACCGGGCGGTAAAGTCGAGCGCAATCATCACTTGTCACCAGAGCTAATAAGGTAATTCTTCAGGGGGGACTAAATGGAGCTCTGTAGTCCAGGGGAAAAAAAAGAACATTGGCAGGCTCCGTAGCTTTCCCCCTCTTCAAAACATGGCGACTTCAAAGCCCCTCTCCAATCTGATTGGTTTTCGGGTTATATGAAAGTTGCAGGCTTGTTTCCCAGAGCAGCTGCCACCTGTCCATTAGAACACAGGGCTTTTGCGATGAATAAGGCCTAATGGGGAAAAAAATGCAAACGTCTCTGGTGTAAATCCTCTGCAGAACATGTGTACAAAAGTCAAATAAGCATCCAGAATAACATCCTGAAACTTGATAATGTGAAGATACAAAAAGCTTAGTTTATGAATGTGGTGTAAAACACAGTGTGGAGGGATAGCAGAGAAGAAATATCTGAACATGAGGACACAATATTTATCATATGGATATGTTTAGGTGTCCAGTACTACTGGCGCGTGCTTCTTCCATATGGGAACCGCTAGGCGTTTTTCCTTGTGTGTTGGAGGGCGCGTGGACCAGTGTGAAATTTAGTGTCAGTGAGGAATGAAGACAGGGCAATAACTTCGCAGCTCCCCTTGAACCGCGATTCTACTGAATTCCTCCGCCGCAGCGCGTAAACACAGACGTATATATAATCCATCTCCAGAGCTCAGGAGACACATTCCATTCATTTGAGCAAATCTGATGTGGGGGCTCTGCGTGCTTCAGCTGCACAGAACTGCCTGTACCATGGTACATTCTACAGGTCTGCAGAAAGCCTGCTCATTTACAGATCCCTGCCTGTCTCCCACGCCACATCCTGGAATACTGCTGGAAAACTACAGACAGTAGTTTTTTCCAAAGGTTACCCATGACGTGACAGGTGGACTCACTGCAAATAACTCCAGGGTTTTCCTCATTGCTAGACAACAATTTTTGGAACCCAGAGGAGGAGAAATAATAGATGAATACTTAATGGGGGTAACTAGTGGAGTTTACAGGTTGTCACCCTTTCCTGTTGAGGTAAACCCATGTCTATATAATCAACCACCAACTGCTTTAAACACATGGTGATATTAATTAATTAAAGGGCCACAGTAGCCAAATATCAAATTATGGTATATCACCCATCAGTACTCCAACACAGTGTTCCAACACATTCCACTCCTTCTCAGACTTCCTGATTTTTGAAAATTTGACTGATGGAGCTCATAAACTGATTTGTAAAATCCAGATTTTCTTTCTGCTAGCATTTGTATTGAACATGGAACCCAAAACACTGTATAAAATCCATAAGATAACATTACCTGATGACTGACCAATGTGGCTCTAGTCCGGTGATTGATCTGCTTGGATAACTAAGGGTTGCAGTGAAGAACATATGACATTTTTGGACTAAACTGAACACCAGCAAAAAGCAAGAAAAGGCAGCAGTAGAGATATAAAAGGAACAGGGCAAGAACAGGAGTGCAAGTACAGCAGAGCGGAATTGCAGGGGTGGCTCCCCCTAAGGGTGACAAAGACTTGGTCTTAGCACAAGGGCAGAAAAACATCCTTTTCCAGAGCACAGATTACCATTCGCACAGTTCCTGCAAATGGTGAGATAGTTGATATCACTGTAAACGATAGCAGGCTATGTTGATTTTTTTAACATTTCCCCTCCACTGAGTGTACCGGGAGGACAATCTGCAAATAGAGGCTCTGCTACAGACATGTTGCAAGCACCTCTCTATCTCCACACACACCCCACATCTGGAGCCTCATTCCTTCACAATATTGTCATGTTTAGGAAAGTATTTCAATGCAACGGGCAGGGTGGAAACATCCAGCGAGGTCTGGCCAGGCCCAAGGAGCACTCACTTTTTCCTCAATTATCTTGGGTAGATTTGTGATGTCGGAACTCACGTTCACTTACATGCAGATACTTAAAAAACAACATGTTTTTCCAACACCTTAACATTTTGGGGCATCCGGCCCCTCAATTATCTTCAGTAGAATTGCGGTGCCTGAAAACCGTATTTTTTGGGGGGTCTGGCTGAGTTTGTCTGGTCTCCAGCTAACCAAGAGGGCACCCTCATCGGCACACAATGGCCAGTGGCCAGAATGTCAGTGGAGGAGACCCCCTCACATGGATCACAAAATGGACAACATACCAAGAGACAAAAGCTTCCTGCCACTTTAGATTTACATCAAACCAGACCCATGACAATATCAAGCACTCTTTTACCTGACCAAGATAATGGAGCAGACAGCCCAGACAATCTTATTTGTTGCAGGCAGGACACCTCAGCCTGAAGCACTGATTTAAAGAAAAATATTACTTGCAAACACATCCTAGCACCTAACATACGCACAGAACAACAGACCAGACCTCAGACCGTGTACTTGTAACATGACCTATTGGATTTACAACTTTGTAACTCTGAACCTGTTTATAAAAGCTTAACTTTAGGATCTAATCCTCAGTGATGAATACTGAAGAAGACTGTCAAAAAATACGATTCACTTGGAAATGCATGAATCCGCTTCATACACAGATTTACCTCCAGAACTGCCATCAGTATATGTCCAAGAAAGACTAATCACAAGCTCCTTGGAGAAATCAGGGACTTAACTTTTCTTACCAGATCTCAACCTATAATCAGGACCAACTCAGACACTAGCTTCAGAACGCAATGCTCACATAGATCTAGGCTTAGAATTTCATCCCTTCGCCAACGATTCCCACATCCAGACACGTCCCAAAGACAGAGGAAGTGAGGAGGAAAGGAGCAGGGCGTGCCTGGACCCCCGTCTTCCTCTCACACAGGGCCGTTGGGGAATGAGAGCAGCGGTGAATGCGATAAGATCTGACTAGCTCACGCCCATCACATCCAGGAAACGCACCACGCGGGGCCACCGACTGCCCCCTTTCCGGTATCTTCCGCCACACGTGTGTGTGTGTGTGTCACCTCCTCGGAATCCCCTTATCTAAATGAGCCCACCCCACTGCATAGGATGAAGCCAAACTACACCCTTTGTGTGAAAAGCGGCCCCGATTATCTGTCACCTGACCTATCGCTTAACTGAAACTCTGGTAAGATAAGAGAGGAGAGAATACGTGTATATGATCGATGAGATACCAGGCTGAAGAGTTTAGTCTAGGGTAGGTTTAGGCAACGAATCCTAGTGCACATATTTGGCTTCTCCATTCCTCAGATGGGTTATATAACCTAAAGCCCCTAACTGGACAGAAGCTTTGATCACTCACCAAACACACAAAATCCACCTGAAGGCACCAGTGCAAAAGTAAAGTCAAAAATTGTTCTGACACATTTCCTAACAAGCAGTAGGGTTGCCTTTTTCTATGAGGGGTACCCAAGGTATCTGCTGAGTACAAATACCTGTATTTTTGTGCTGTAATTTTAATCTTTCTCACCCAAAATTAAAAAGATTAAAGATTATTCCTCATGTCAGTTTTAAAACTTAATCACTGGCATAAAAGCAGCGTGATGTGGTAATTTGGAACCTGGAATCATAACCGGAATCATACGGTAGACACTGCGGTTGCACTCTCACCTTTTTTTTCCTTTATGCAACCCTTTTTGCAATCACCAATTTGATTATAAGATCATCCCAGTGTGATGACCACTGCACTTGAGAGTGAGTACTGAGGCGTAGTGAATGCAATCCTCCAAAGCAATTGCATGCCAACAGCAACAGTGTGCTGAGTCTCTCAGCACACCCCCAACAGTAAAGTAGGCATCCACTGAAGGGAAATTGCCAATGCCATCTGAGCAACCTGCAGATGCCTGGCAAATCAAGGGAGAGCTGAGAGCAGAAAAACCACTGCTGACATACACTCCTCTATCTCAGACAATTTGTCCTGGGACTGTGGGATCCTGGTCATCATGTACTGATGGCATAGCTGGAATTGAACCCAGGCCATTGGACTCAAGACAAGCATTTTAACCACTGTGCCACTCAGCAGCCTACTTAATATGAATTACTTCAGTAATCATCCTGTTACATATATATGTAAAAATTTAAATCAATTTAACATGGATTGATGCAAAATCAAATGGCGGGGACCATGAGTGGTAATGTGAATTGGTTGATAATTTTAAGACAAGACTTCAGAAGGTACTTCAAAAATCCATACTGAGTATGTTACAGTCAGTGGAATTTATTTGTAAAGAGCTTTTCACCATTTTGCAAGCTAGAACCAGCTCAGTCCCATGACTGCCTTTAAAGGCAACGCAAGGTTTCCTAATCTTACGTACAACGACATTCCTGCACCCCTCAAGAGGAAACCTCACGGTCATCTCACGGTCGCTCCCTTTGCAGGCTATTATGACCAAGGCCCTATTGTTAAGCCCCGCGCTTTCATTAGCCAGGTTCCGACAGGCCCTCATTGGCGGTGGCACAGAGGAGGCTTCTGGGAAAAAAAAACGACCTGAGCTCACTTCCTGCTTTTGTTGGGAGCCTGGCTGGAATGTGATGATTGTATAAATATTTTCTCAAAATTTCCTTTTTTTCATTTTTGAAATGTGAACATCTGCGTGCCTGAGAGCCAACAGTGTGAGCTAAATAAATAAATAAACGCAGGCGCGCAGCTATTTCTTTGTGTTCTCACCGTTAAACATAAGTCAGAAAACAATTGGTCGTTGACTCATTTTTGCCACCGCACCCTTTCACAGACCATAACCTCCATCTCATGGTGTGATATAGAGGTGGTGTTTCTTTCGGGTCAGTCACTTAAAGGCAGGGGTCAATATCGTTCAACAGGACTGGATACGAAAGTGACTACAGCACAAAAATGGATTTTGTATGATTGTTACGCAATTTACAAGACACGAAGGAGATTATAATTTCATTTTTATGATTTGTTATGTTCAATTTTGATATTTCATAGTAATAACAAAAACGTGCAAAATATACATGTGATTGTGATTAAATATGCTGTCTTTCTTATATGCTTGTAATTATATTTTACATTTACAGTTAATTATTTAATAGACACTTTGATCCAAAGCCACTTACAGACGTGCACGCTAGAAGGTTAGTCTAAGAGCGGAGAGGATACCAACCCACCAATGTCAGAACTTATAGTAGGAGTCATTACGTAACATACAGCACTCAGCTAACTGTCACAGTAGGTTCAAAAAAGAGTTTGATGATATAGTGCTTTTACTTAGCGAACATATTTGAGGATATGGTATGAAATATCAGATTGTGGGGTTAGTTGAACCAGTTTTAACAGATGAGGTTTCAGTCTACAGTGTAAGATGGACAATGTTATTACATTCATCTGCCTATCTTGTATTTGTTTACCAAAAATGTGATTGGAGGCGATATTGGACAACATACATTTTTTTTTTAAATGGAAGAGTCACTTCCCTAACTGATCTGCTGTTATCTGTAATCAACTGATGAACCTTCCCTGAAACAGGGTCACAAGGTCTTGACTGCGGTCCACTGCTGAGTAAGAGCTGTATTTTTTCCCTTCACCTTTATTAACTTCACTCAAAAAGACATAAAGCTGTTTTAAACGGTGATCGTAATCCTTAACATGTTTTCCTCTTTTTCAGTAACTCGATATACCTCAGCAGTGTGCATTTTAGACTTACTAATTGCTCTGCAAGGAATTTCAATGGCCAGGTTATTTATGTCCTCGTTCTCAACATCTTCGTTTCGGTCTTTGAGAATTTGCTAGCGTGCACCATCATCATAAATCCAGCTTGTAAAAATGTAGTGTCTGCCAGCAATGTACGTAAAGATTATGTAACTATTTAGGGGGGAGCCTAGACCCATGATGAACCTTTGTAAGTTTCATGTAATCTCTTCTAACTCTGTGGTTTCTGGTCAAAATCAGCATGAGACAAGCTGTGCTCGGAAAAAATGCAAGTCCTTTTCCTTTTCCAGCTCGGCAGTGATAAAAGACGGAAGCTTGCATCTCCACACATGATAGCGTTTCATGAACAATGAAGGCGACTGTGCCTGCCATTAATTATTATTATTCCAAGAGGTTTTAACAGCATGGTAGTCAGTGCTGACACAGACACACATCATATCACCTTTATGGTAACAATCGGCATAAACATTCCTGAACATTACTTTCGTGCAACAGGTATGAGCCAGGGATTTGTTTTCTGTCTTATTTTATGTTCATGTAGCTTGTGTTTTAGAACCAAAGGTTTTGAAAAAAAAAGGTGCGTGTAGTGTACATTTTCTCTGCTAAATTTCATTATGTGTATGTCGTAAATCGGTTGCAACGCTGCACTTAAACCGCAACATTTTGAAGCAGGGGTGAAAGAGTTCGCCTTTATTGGACAGAATCCCCCTGGTGCTTTGATCTCCTTTACAAAAAAGCTGTGCAGCTCATGATGGCTCAGGGTGACATCAAATGCTGAGCTGTGACAGGCCCCTATTGCAGTTGTCACTGTCCGCATTGGGAACAATGGAGGGTGATGGGTCTGTGGTCTTAACAAGTCCTGGCTATCTGCAAATACTGGATGTGTAAAAAAAGCCTGCTGTCTTAGATGGCATATTGCTTTTGAACAAAGTAATGTTACTCTCCATAGCTGTTACTAGTTGGCAGAAGAAGAAATTAATCCCCCCAAGGTTATTTCTTGCTGAGAAGGACAGATTACGGTCAAGAATGAGTCAAATCCAATATGCCTCCAGCTTTCTTACACTCCAACAGTCATTAACAGAGATCATCAGCTGTACCAAGCTTCAACCATGAGGATGACAAGTAGATACAAAAAGACTGACTTTTAACCATATCACACAGCCTTAAAGACAGCTAACATTAATAACACAGAGATGTAGATTCATTATTTTTCATTTATTCATTCATATTTTCAATGAGACAATTCAGCTACGCAGGGATGTTTACAAGCACTTTTGATGATTTATGACTTATATATGGATGAGTTATACCTTGACTCCCTTCACTTTAGTGAGGAAGAAACAAAACTGAGTAAGGCCGCTCGAAACTTCAGGTGCATCACTTCAGCGAATTCGGACAGGAAATGAGTTCCGACAGGAGAGTTTATTTCCCCAGTGGAAAGTAAGAGATGCCCACTGATGCAGCCTTGAAGCCTGATATTACAAATCACAGTTAGAAGTAAACATCAGTGTTGCCAAATCTGACGCATTCACTGTGACACTCATGAAGCCTGTTCTCACGGTCTTGAAGAGTATGTCAAAGTGAATACGTAAGAGTTGGCAAGGCTGAAAATAAAGAAGCGTGCTGCTCTGTGGTATTTACAATCAGGTCCACTATTCTGGCATGCTTTAGTCAATAACATTATGCAAGACCCCAGTGTTGTTTTATACGGAGCAGTGGAAGGGGCAAAATGTCACATTTATCCAATTAAACCCTTAATCATTATATAACATCACAGGTATTTAGGGTACCTTAAGCAATTATAAAAATTAATCCACAGGGCAAATGGTTGTTGTGAAACTGTGGAGTCCATGACCCAGGTCAGCTTGCTGTCACTCACTGAGGTAATTTCTTTGCTCTCTGCCCCACAGGTACACCAGAGCAAGTCCAATCCCCTGGGTTCTGGCCTGGGCTACCTGGAGCACATCTGCCAGCTCATTGAAAAGATCGGGCAGCTGCAGGAGCACAACCTGAGGCTCCAGAAGCAGATCTGTGGCCTACAGAAGGAGAGCAGGATGAGGAAAACCAAGGAGGTGCGTGGAGAGACAGAGACTTAATCATTGCTGTCACCTTATCAGGTGAAACACTCCTAGGGACACTCTATGGCATAATATTTGCTAGGTTACCAGCTAGCTGGGTGATAAGCAAGGAGGTGCATGCAGAGACAAACAGAACCACCACAGCTGCCTTACTGCGTGAAATGCTGCCATGGTCATTTTGTAAGAAGATCAAAAGTGTTCAGTTGGCTGTGTGAAGTCCTTTACAAATCAGCTGTGTAGAAGCCATTACCTTGTGCATTTGGTGCATCCTACCATCCGCTTTCACCTTCAGACGTTTTTCCCAGCAAGCTTCTAATATTCAGCTCTACATAGGCATAGAGATTGAAAGGTGTGTTAATATAGGTTGAAGGACAGCTGTAAGTTACTGCTAAACTTTTTTTAGGCAGTTGTCCTAGTCTTAAACAAGATTTCATACCGACTGCTATCAAAATGATGGGGACAGTGGTGTTGGCCCTTTGGAGCCCATGTGCTTGGTGCATGTGATCCGCTGTTAGGTCACGTCCAGGTGGGACAACGCTGTGGCGCCCTGGGGGCGTAATCGCTTGCCCATGCCGTCGGCATGTGAACCCAGCTGTCTTGTTAAAGCAGGTTCAGAAATTGTGAGTCACCCCACCAGATGAAGGAGGCAGTCGACTGCGTAACAACAGGGCCAGCTGTGCTCGCACCGCTACCGCCGGAAAGCACGTGTGGGCCACACATTTCGACCTGGCCGCCTTTATAGCCGCGCAGCGGCGGGAAGGCCGGGCGGGCGGAAACGGGCGATTTGTTTGCACTGATCTATTCTACATAACAACAAGCAGCGTGGTCTTCATTGGCCATCTGCTGCCGGAGACCTCAGAGTGGGGGGTGCCTGTCGATTTCCTGCCGAAACTGCACCATCACGACTTCCTGAATGACGGCAGGGGAGCTGCTCACAAGGTATCCCAAGCAAAGCCTCAGAGTGTCACAGGGCCAGATGACTAGATGAATCTGTGGTCCTGGTCAATTTAATCAAACACTCTCTGTGAGCAGGACCTCACAAATTAGAACGCTTTATTCAGACCAATTATCCATTTGTAGATCAGATGTAATTGATGTGATATCCATTAAAGTAGCTAAGCTTCAAAGGGACCAACCTTGGCTATTGAAGAAGCCGCAAGTTTTATGATGACCTGCAATGACCACAGTTCGGGCGGCACATGTTTTCACAGAATTGTTCATGGTCCACGCGGGAAAAAATATGCGTGCTGTGACAAAACGCTCAGTCCCAGCTCTCC